AAAAAATGCTCGCTGTTACGTAAAATAAACCTCAAACTCGAGTCTTCCTCAGATTTGATGGAGAATAAGAAAGACAAAGACAATGGAAAGGTTCAGGTTATCACCAACTGCTATAGGAGAGTTAAAACATGGTATGGATGTGGGGCAGAGGCAGCATCCACAAGGGTCAGGAGCTGATGGGGCAACAGCCACTCCAAAGCCTTGGACCCTTTTCCACAGATTTCACGTCAAGTAAGCATAATTTAATCAAGAAAGCCCCCGAAAGTCAAGCTGTTCCACATGAAGTACCATTAGAGAAGCTGAAGGTGGGTACATATTTCCCTTAGCTAATCTCAGAATTGTTTCCAGGGCTAAGGTCTCTTGGCCTAGCCCAAAAGCTGCGCAAACGCCTGCCAACATTTGACACATAGGACCATCTCCGATTTTTGTTAATCGGCCATCAGTTCCTGCACAGGGTAGGCTTGCCCTCACTAGCGTTACACAATCCATTTACTTCCTCTACATTAGTGACTTCAAATGCACCTTGGGGACATGCTACAGAACAGCAAGTGTGGAGCCAGTCCAACACTAGGCTTCCAAAGACATGAGAGAGCATCTAGACAGTTTTAAAAAGAAGACCCCAAAATCCGAGGCAGTGTGTGTGTGTGTGTGTGTGTGTGGTTGGGGGAGGGCAGGGAGTGATGAGGGGTGATGGGACCCATTTGCTGTCCATTTGCTGAGGCAGCTGGGACCTGCTGCGAGAGCTGCCACCTTCTGGGAAAAAAGCCAATAGGTTGCCTCCTCTCCACAGTTACATATTAAGGCTGCAACTGTTTATGTTCAATCTCAAGATACATTCTGTTCCCCAGCTTCAGAGTTGCAAGTACAGGTGCCCTCGGTTAATTATCCCAGTTCTCTCCAGAGTTGCTTCCAGCAGTGAAGAATCTTCCAGGAGGGCTTCAGATTGTCCGGTCCACAGCCCTGCTGAGAACGTCCCTTTCTACCCCAGATATACTGAATCAAAGCTACGCTTTAACAACATCCCCAGGTAAGATTTCCGTGTACACAAGACTATAGATTCTCGGGCATTCATATTCCCTTTCCAAGCGGTCAGCTAGCCAGAGTTCATTTTTTAATCAATCTGGACCATTTGGGCTCCAAGACTTGTTTAAGAAGTTTGGCTTCACTTGTTCAAACAAAAGGGTAGGTCATAAGACAAAGCTGTCCTCCCCTTTAGATCATGAGAGAGACTGAATAAGAAATGAAACCGACAATCTCTCTGGGTGGTAGTAAGGTTAGGTGGGTGCAAGCAAACCCAACCCACTGCCACCAAGTCAGTTCCAACTCATGGGGACCCTACAGAATGGAGCAGAATGCCCCCTAGGGTTTCAGGGGCCATAAATCTTTACAGGAGCCGACTGCCACATCTTTCTCCCAAGGAGGAGCTGGTAGGTTTGAACTACTGACCTTTCCAGCCAAAGGATGAGAAAGAGAGCGATTTACTTGGAACACCTGATGAAGGAAAACATTTTCTAAAAGGCCTAGTCGGTTACTTCTCAAGACAAGAAAAACAACCTCACACTCATTTTGAAAAAGCTATTTATTTTTTTCCCAAATATGTGTTTTACAGACAAAAGTCAATAATGGGTCAGAAACGTTCTATAGAAGAAATCATCTTTACAGACATAACGGGAATAAGCAGCAGCTCACATAGATCTACATGTCTGTGGCTCTGTGCCGGGGGAAGAATTCCAAAACCAAAGTGCACGACAGGATGGCTGTGGCTTTCCGTGCCACCTTCCCTTACAGCCTACTTTTCATGGTTGAGATGCCACAATGACCTTGAAAAGTAGAGCTCCACTGGACAAGGTAAGGGTGAAATGGGGTCAAGCATCGGAATGAATTCAAGTTTAGAACAAACTAGATTCAACCTCATCCAAACCCAATGTGCAGTCTGAGACTCAGCAGAGATAAATACAGGTTTTGGTATCCCATTTACAAGGCCTGTGGCTACTACAACTATGAAGAGCTAAAGTAAAGCCAAGCAGACTCCCATCAACAGTTCCGCCTGGCCTTCTTTGTGAAGCCTCCACTCAAAGTGCGAGAAGGGGAACTGGTGAGTCCTCAGAGAGCCGCCCTTCATCCTGCCCATCCCTTTCTCTCCGCTGCCCGCCCTCCGCCCACCGAGACAGCAAATCGCTTACCAAAGAGGTGGGGTTTGTGTCACAGCCTCGTGGAAATTAGTTCGAAATGACATTCCATGAGCAGCGATTGACTTTAAGTCAAGAGACATTTCCCACCACCCCTCTGGCTCCTCCAGGAAGAATCACAATGAATTCCACACTACCCCTCTCACTCCTGCAACTATCTCCCACCTAAAAGCTCGAAACAACCAGCATAGGTGTTGATATGTTGTTACTTGAGGAGGAGAGGAAGATATATATAGTTTTAATAAAACCCCCATGCACAATTAAACTTGATTAAAAGCTCGGAGAATGCTAAAAGTAGTAATAAGTACAGGAGGCTGCAGAGCAGAGAGTACAGGTGCGCCCTGTCTTGCAGTCAGTAAACGCTGTGGAAGTGACAGGCAGACATGACTTCACTTAAGCATTGGAGAAGCAAAGAAGTTGCCTTGTCGTCCAAGATTGGTGGCAGACTTGCTTTTGGTCCCGAATCTAAAGAAAAAGAGCATCACGTGGACAAGTCTCTATACAAACTGGTGAGCAGTCAACAGCAATTACAACATGACATGCTATAGTCAACCCAAAGAAGAAAACCACATTGTTCTGCAATGTGCAAGGGTCACTTGAAATGAAGAAGGGGAAATAGTAAAGACCTTTTAGATCAGTGGTTCTCAACCTGTGGGTCGCGACCCCTTTGTGGGAGGGGGGTCAAGCAACCTTTCATAGGAGTCGCCCGATTCGTAACAGTAGCAAAATTACAGTTATGAAATAGCAACGGAAATAATTTTACGGTTGGGGTTCACCGCGGCATGAGGAAGATGGAGAACCACTGTTTTAGGTCTTTTTTTTTTTTTAAAGGATCCTTAAGGTTCTAGGTTACCTTTTCCAGTGTGGGTTCTAGCTAAGATCTACACCAACTTTTCTTTCAGGAAGTGTGCGGGTGGTGGGGGTTGAGTCTGATTCCCTAAAGAGGACTTCTCCATACCTGGGAGTGTTCTTGGTCAGGGTGGAGCGGACTCTCTGTGACAGGGAGCTCGAGGACGGCGTCTTGAGGAGCTGGTGCTCGGGAGTGGTCACAGGCCCCAGTAGACTCACTTCAATCCCCGTTTAGAAATATGTTTAAAAGGAGAAAGGAGAGAGAAGAAATGTATTTAGTAGGGACGCAGGAAATGTGGCCAGCTTTAAGCTGGGTCCCTGTGAGGCACCCAGAGGCCGTGCAGAGAGCCCAGAGCATTTCTGTGCCATCGTTTGTAACAGCCCAGGATAATATTTGAACCACACAGGTGACCCAGCAACAAATAGCTGAGATTTAGCTATCAGCTAAATATGCTCCAGGCCATCCTCCAACCAGTACAAAGTGGCATCCCAATATTTGATTTTGACCTGTGCTAGAATAAACAATATGCCCCTCAGAAAAGTAACTTTCAACAATGAACAGGCTTCAGTGCCACTGAGACTAAAATGAAAACAAGCTGGTCATGCATTACTGGTGGTAACATAAACTGGCAAAAGCCTTGGGGAAAAAATCATGCGACATTAAAAATATTCAAGTCCTTTCTAATTCAGCCATTCACTTTTAGAAGTTAATTATTAAGGGGGGGAAAAAAAGCTATATACGTATAATGTTGACTACAGCATTATTTATATAAAAAGGGGGGGGGCTGATAGTAAATTAAATTCCAGCTTGCAGCCATAAAAATGCTAACATTATACAGTAACATAGAAAACATTCTCAGAATATACTAAGTGAAACCAAAACAAATTGTATCTAAACTATTATTACATCTGTATAAAATCACATAGGCAAAAAGAGAACTTGTAAGGGGAAAAGTCAAAAACTTCCTTTCTGTTAGGACTTTCCAAATAAGTTCACTTTTCAATCAAAGAATATGAATTTCAAACAGTCGTACAAAGGCAGGGCGAGGGCACATGCCTGAAACTAGAGGGCATTTGTAACCTATGAAGCACCCCAAGGCCTTACCTTTAACGTCTGGTGTCTGTGGGGTCGAGAAGGCATTTGAGTTTTCAATGACGTGCATGGGGTCGATGTTCTCTTGCTCTACCATCATGAACTGACTCCAATATTCCAGTGGCAGTGCAAGCAGGCGCTCTATCACCTGAAAGCCACCAGATCTGTTAGCTTATCTTCCAAGGAAGGCTCAGCTCAGGCTTACTTCCCAGCATTCCTTCCACATGATCCCATCGACAGATAAATCTTAGCCCCAACTTACCTTATTACTAAGGGGCTTTAAAAAATGCATGGGAAAGTTCCAATAAGTTTGAATTTCATTATCCCAAGAGATTTTTGAAGCCCCTTTGAATGTAAACCACATATATTCATTCATCCTTGCCTACCTTGGGTTGACGCTTGATGTCCTGTAACATTGTCACTGGGTCTGGGTTGGGCACAGCATGGGCAACTATTGTAGGGCCGAAGACTTTAGCCAGATTGGCAATATCCATTTTAGTGGTTGGGCTCTGAGCCACTCTAAGCAAAGAGCATTAAATTAGAAGGCTCCTCTCCAGCTTAAATATTTCTACAAGAAAGCCAGTCTCTCGTGCTTCCACCTTACACCCAGCCCACCAAGCTCTTCTCCTTACAAAACCCTCTACTCCCAGAAACAAGTTTCTGCTGCACTTACCTCTGCAAGTGAATCATGAGGAAAGCCAACGTGTCCCTGTTGGCTTGGGGAAGTTCACTCACAGCCTGGTACATGGCAGCCACACTGTTGTCCTCATCTGTGATTTCTGTAAATGAAAAGAAACACCAAGAGGCCTAGACTTCTTTCCCTTAACAGCAGGCTTCCAGCTATCGACCACAAAGCCTCATCTATACAGTAAGCTTCTGAAACTTCTGATTAGGTTCATGTCTCCATCAGACTCTACTTTCATTAACACTCAGGATACTGGCCAACAGCTCAATATTTAAAAAAACAAACCCAGCTCTGCAGCTAGGAAACAGCTGACACAATACATGTGTTTGGAAGCAACATACAACTACAGTGACTACGATTATCCAGAAGGTATTCATTCATTTGCAAAACATATGTGAGGGCCTACTGTGTGCCGAGTATTATTCTAAATGCTGGGAATAAAGCAAAACTAACCCCAGTCTGCCTCATGGAACACACATTCTACTGGAAGAAGGAGTGAACACTAGCAAATACCTCTCAGATGGTGCCATGTATGAAAAGGGAACCAGGTGGCCAGGAGAGATATTTTAAGGTCAAGATTCTTGCAGAGACATGTGAAAAGTAAAGCAGAAGACCACACAAGTCTCTACACGTACTCCTGAGTGAGTCCAGGCTAGTGCGAAAACAGCGCGGTAGGGCAGGCCTGCCAAGTTCTAGGACCTGCAGTCTTATGGGTCAACTGGAGAGGGAGGAAGAAGGGAAGGCTGCGGACTGAAATTATGTTGGTGATGTTACCAGGAGCACCGTCACGGAGGGTCTTTCGGGTCACCTTATAAAACATGCCTTCTACTCTGAAGTGACGAGAAGCCACTGGAGGATACTAAGGAGAGAAGGAACATTTCTAATTTAAAAGGATCGTGCCAGAGCGTCTTTATGAGGAACATACTGTAGAAGGCCAGAATCAAAGTCAGAAATCAGTTAGTAGGTTCTTACAATACTTCGGTGTGAGAGGCAGTAAAAGTGGTAGAAAGTGTGATAAATAGCAAATTTGAAGATACACATTAGAAGACTGCTGACGAGATTTGTCAATGGATTAGAAATGGGGTGTGAAGAAAAGGAGCAAAGGACGCAGCTAAATTCAAAACAACTTAAGAATTCACCAAACAACCAAAAAACTTAATGAGAAATCAGTTTAGATGAAGAGAGAAAGCAGGGGGAACACTGTATACCATTTTGAGCACAGCTATGTTTCAGGCACTGTACTAACACAGGAATAAGCCAGTGAAGAGCCGAGTGAAACAGTGCAGCGCCCATGGGACTTGCGCTCCCTCATTACCTGCTGCTTCCATAAAGGTCTTGTTTAGCCGAAAGGTCAGCAAGGGTTCTCTGAGGTTCCGCAGGAAGTCTTTCAGGAGGCTGCAGATGGCATGGATGTCATCCACTTTGCTGAGGAGGGGGACGGTTTTCACCCGCAAGAATTTCTCTTTCAGCTCTTTAACTGTCCGATCACAGCCAGAGATCCTGTACAGACCTGTCTATTATCAAGAGGGCATTTTTATTTAAAAACCTCCGGATTATGAACACAAATAATAGATCCTCCTCCTGGGACTGACTCTTACCTCGGTCAGTCCTCTCTGCTCAATCTCATTTACGCAATGGACAACAATGGAAGGGATCATTGGAGAAGTCTGGGACACAAAATCTGCCAGCATTCCCTGAGTGGGAAGAATTTAAAAGTATTATTAATACCACTTTACACCAACTAAGCTCTCAAGATTGGGTTAGTTATTCCTGAAAATCGAAAAACTCCACTAAAAGTTCGACAAAGTAACCCCAATGGCACTGTGGGTTAGGCGCTAGGCTGTGAACCACAAGGTTAACCACCAGCTGAACCACAGATGCTCCTCAGGAGAAAGAGCGGTCTGCGCCTGTACACATTTGCATCTCAAACCCCGAGTCAGACTGTCAACTCTGTGACACTGGGCTCTTCTCTAAAGGAGACCATGAGGACATGTAGAGAAACCAATCTACACCAGGGGTCCTCAAACTTGTCCCTCAGACCCGTTGGACTATAGTTTAAAAAAAAAACTATGAACAAATTCCTATGCACACTGCACATATCTTATTTTGAAACAAAAATCAAACGGGGCAAAAACACCCGGTGGGCTGGATAAATGTCCTCGGTGGGCCGCATGTGGCCTGTGGGCCGCAGTGTGAGGACGCCTGCTCTAGACTAACGTGAGGGCTGGGACATTGTGGATGCATTTAAACGCCCATTCTCAAAGCATGTACATGAGAGCTTCCAAAGTTCATAGGGAGATGGAATTAAAAGATAATGGCATTTCCCCACAATCTTTCTGAAGCTCCTCTTGTATAACAGAGACTCTCAACTTGTTTTTCCTATACACCAGGTCTGATTTATGGTCACATATACCACACTTTCATGAACAAGTACTAAGACCACCAGCTATAACTCTACTTCCCTTCTCAAGAAAAAGCATCATCATAGAGCAAGCAATAATGAGATTACACGTATCACCTTTAATACAACTTATTACTCTAAAAAAGGAAACCTTTTCACTTTAATTACTCTTAGTAAGAAAAATTATTTAACACACTTCACAGTTGATCATGAAACAAACCAACCTATAGGGGAGAACTCCATGGTACAGAAAGTTCATTTTACACACACACACACACACACACACACACAATTGGAGAAAAGAATGTATTTTTTATTGTTTGCTGAGGGTTGGTATCAGCAGTCATTTTATTTTGAATAATACCAATGTAATTTGTGAAACCAAATAGTCCTTAAAGGAGTTAAATGATTTTCAGGAATAACCAATCTAATCTTAATAGCTAAGTATAGAATAACTTTAACATTATTTTAAAAAGGAATATTCACAGGCAAAATTATATGGTGATTGGACTCTGTATCACAGTTATCCAATAGTTGAGGCTAGGCGAGAAGATGGGTATCAAGACTGGGCAGGAGTTAGTACTTGTTGAAGGTGGGTGACAGGAACTAGTAGTTAATTACACTCCTCACTGCATTTCTGTATATGTCTTGAATTCTCCAAGAGAGCACGTTGGGACAGTAAAGGAAGGGAGGGTGCGGAGTTAAATCCAGATAGCACACAGTGAGAGGGTTAAGCCTCGGTCAGCAACTGAAACACACCCGCTGTTCTGTGGAGAAGCTGAGGCTTGCTGCTGCTCCAGTAGAGCGCTAGCCCTGGCAACCAGAGGTCACATTTATTCCACTCTGTCTCACAGAGGCTATGAGTTGAAATCGACTCAGTGCCAGTGGGCTTTTCTTTGGGTCACCTATGTGACATCATTGATTTTAGAGCAAAACGGACATGGAGCCTTTGAAAGCTTAAAGAAGCCACAGTACGAGGAGGCTCCTCCAAGTCCTACCTCTCCGATCTTGACAGGTGTTCCCATCAGGGTAGGAATGCAGGGAAGGGGACAGCGGTCCCGACATTCTGGATGAGACACCACTCGACAGTCTCGACACTTCAGGGATAACTTGCCAAATTTTATCCGCTTTCCACAGGGAACACACGATTCTGGTTTGATAACCTAAGGATAAAACAGGGCCAAAGGAAGAGAGTGGTGGGAATTTATGATGGTCACAACTGTCATCCCAATGACTCCACAAGATGATTCTGATGGAAGTTGAATACCTTAACTGCTTGAATTTTTATTATCATTGCCTTTCCTCATTATTATCAGCAAAGCCAGCATCATTGCCCGAACAATAAAGATGAAGCCATTCACAATAACTATCGAGCATATGCACAGTTCAGTTATAGTAAGAGTTCAATACTGTCCAACTTTCTGTTTTGCTTCCTGACTGATCTGATTGCTGCACAGCATCACGCTTGACAATTTGAACAGTAAGTTGCAAAATCACGTGTCTGTGAGTGAACATCTGTGAATGATAGCATCAGCAAATCACACACAGCAACCCTGTGTACAGTGCACATTAGGGACAGTAAGATGTTTAAAAAGTAAAGGAGGAGCCATGTCCAAGTGTAGTTTGCCACTACTCAACTATATCATTTTCTTCATTTAAGATAAAGAAATGGATGTACAAACAGATGAAATAGCATGCCTAAAATCCTCTGAGTTAGTTAATTGTGCCAGCCTGGCCGATAATCACATGTGGGGCTAATTGAAAGGCGGAGGGATAAATGGGTGGTAAGCCTTGCCTTTCTAGTTCTC